TCCGAAGAGATTCAAACCTCAATGCCACAGCATACAGGGAAACCCGGGTTTCAGACCTAAAATGAAACTGGGGTGTTGTTTTGTTGGACTGGAGTGGATTCATTGCAAAATACCAACTCAACCCTGCCCAACCCGTCCAAAACCCCCTCTGCCTGTGCTTGGCTGCACTCATGGATCTCGTAGACCACCCCGTGTTCTCCTTGACTTTGGCTGCAAAGCGTGCCTGCCAATCAAAGGGAACCACCGTTGATTAAGAAAGGGATCAAAAGCTTTTGAACTTAATGTGAAAGCTCAACAACCCAGAAACCAGGCTGCAGTTTAATTTTGTTTTCCCCGTCGTGCTCTCCCTCTTCTATCTATGTCTCAGTGCTGGAATTCCAACATCAAATGAATTTGAAATTACAAATCTAAGGCTCAAAATAAGCTGCATTGGCGCGTCGCAACTGGGAATTAAACAATTGCGTGTTGACCACAAGGCATTGGGTCTCACTAAGCCGTTCCTCTGGGGGTGGTTCTTGACCAAGAATCCAAGTCTCTTCATCATCAACAACAATAGTGTCACCATCATCCCCAAGAAAAGGGGTCTGAATGAAGCCCTCATCACGAGGAAACTTGGCCAACTTGGGCTTCCCATCATCAAGCAGATCGACTTCATAGAACTTGGTATCATCCCCACCCAAGTCCACCTTGCCATCCCCGAACTCAGGCAAAGGATCAGAATCACGATCATCACTTAACTTGGACAAAGGGGAGCGGGGACATTCCATGTCAGATCCTGAATCCCCATCATCCAACACCGTAACATCATCCTCCCAGAACGGAAATTCGTCATCAGTATCAGGTGGTTGGGAGTCAGGTTCTGGAAAATATTTCTGAGCTGGCTCAATGCCACGCTTGGCAAATTTGCCCTTGATCTTGAGCAGGCTTGTCAAAGTCCCCGCTTTCTGTGACCTTGGTTGGGGTATTCAGTAGGCACTTATAATCTAGGATTCTGAATTTGAAAAACTATATTTGAGAAAGAAATTCTTGACCTTGCCTTTCTTCATTTTTTCTATGTCCCTCACATTAAATTATCCAGTCAGTCAAGCCGCATTTTGGAAAGCATGATGGCAACTCCAAGGACAGTAAGTCGGCCAACGCTTTAGCCCCAGCTCTTCTTGATCCAAAATGGTTCTGAACTGATTAAGATTGAGTTGTGTTCTTTTCAAGTCACATGCAGCTTGCATCTTGACAAATATGGCAAAAACATGTTTGAACCAAAACAACTTCCCAACCAGAGACCGCCAGCCTTGAACAAGTGAGAGTTCTCAATCATTTGAGCTGGGCTGTGCTTCCCGTAAATGCATGTCTGCAACCTGAGGCAGGCAGGGGTGGACCCAAGTGAAGTTCAAGTGGGATTCAATTGAAAATCAAACGTCAGTTGCAATGATAGAAACATCCTTTTCCCTTTTAATACACCCACATCCCATCATCCTCATCCCACCAGCCAAGAAACACTTCCTTGAGCTCATCATCTGCAAAAACCGGGCGTTGTGCCACCCTGCCAAATCCCAAACCGCCCTTACAAAAATAGATTTAGAAAGGGTCCAATCATGGCCAGTCCCCTTCAAAACAAAACACTGTTGGCTCAAACCAACAGAGCATTGCTGGATGAAACCACAACAAGAATCTTTGAATTTGAATCCAGTCAAGAATTGTGGTTTTGGAAACCCACATCATATTTGTAAAATACGATTTGAACCCCCAAAACATCATTGGTTTCAAACTGTTTCAACCCATCACTTGCCTCCGAATGGCGTGTGCCAGATCTTGGCAGCGCACACGGATGTTGGGGAAGTAGCCTTCACTATCCAAGTCACCACTCAGCGCAGCCTCAGCACAAACATGAACTTTGGACTGGGAACCCATTGAACTACTAAACAAAGCTAAACTCTTGAACCTACAACGTGGTGCCCCCTACTTAGCCAAGGTGATTTTGAATTAAATTTAACTTGCTTTCTTTAAACGCGAAAATTTTCCGGCTTACAAATGTGCATTCCATTTTTTGTTGGTGATCCAAAAAATAAATCCTTGACTGAATTGAACAAACATGAACAAACAAACATAACCCCTAACTAGTCCGTCCCAGCGGACAAGAACCCTTGAACTCATATCTTGGATCAGCAACTAGAGCAAGCTGCTCATCTGCTGCTGCATCGGCAGTGAGAACTTCAGTTCGGTGACGGATTTTTTGGATCGCCTTTTTGTAGTGGGTCCTTAGATGCACCACCCAGTCCATTCCAACCCCCTAGGTTCCCCACCAGCTCTTTAGCCTTAAAGGTGCCCCCAAGTGCGCTTCACACACATCGTCTGACGTGGTGAAATCCTCTTACACATATTTGCATCAGACTGTTCTCAGGCTTGAAAAAGTTTTCATTTTTTGAAATTCGATTTTTTCAATTCAACAAATCGAGAAACCGTCCCCGCTTGCTGTATGGCATCATCTTGGTTGGTGTGGCGAACTCCTCGATGATTCTCTGCGTAGCATGGGCGACCTTGTACGCATGAACTTGTCCAAGCTGCGCAAGTGGGAAAACACCTAGCACACCCACACATGGGCGGAGGCTGCTATTGGAACCAGAATACCTCAAGCAGAGCCATCCACAGGATGCATCCTGCACCAGTGAGAGTGCAGTTGCTTCACACCTCAGATAGATCGTGCATAGCCTTTTTAAGCAAACCTTGGACTGGAACCCTTCCATCAAACCTTTTGGAGCTAGGCGCCCTTGGCGCTTCGGACAAAAACATGTTTTCCCACCCCGGCTTCACTACACGATGTTTTCTTATTGTAACTCTCAGAACTTTTAACAGGAATTTGTGGTTTCAATGTTTTGCAAAATCATAATTGATGGTAATGACTGGGGTGATAATTGTAGATATAATATAATATCGGCAGTTTGCTGCCAAGATGCACATCAATCAGCATGAGTTTTCGCGCGGCTTCACCCAGGCATGCCTTTAGCTGCCGCAACTTCATTCTGCCCTCAGATGTTGGGGCCCCAAGATGGCACAGGTTGCCTCACTAACTTAACCCAACAGAAATTGAAAATGATGGAGGGATATTGAAGAGAAACTGTTAAGAAATTAGTTATTTATTTAGTTGTTGTCAGTCCCAGCCACAAATTCTCCTTCTTCGGGTGAATGGTTGTCTTTGGAACATCTCTGAAGCACTTTTCGAAACATACCCGCTGGAGGCACCTTGGGATGCCCAAATGAATTCCAAAAACGAGCTAAATAACTTTGCATGTTGTTGTTATGCAAACCGATGAGAAACTGAGATTTGGACACGTTTTCCATTCACCAAGGGGGGGTCATCACCAGTTGATTTTGCAACAGCCATTCGATGCCCGGAAGTCGCATCGTGTTGCGCGAGCCATTGCGTTCTCACCAAAGCCTTGAGGCCACCAGTGGAGCTGAACAAACACCAGTGGAGGATGCTGGAAGCTGGGATGATGATGGTGATGGTGATCATGGGGATGATAATGTCTATATATATGAATTATAATTGTATAATAATAATGTCAAATTGATATGATATGACGGGTCTATTTGATACCACATGCCATTTAGTATCAAACAAATAGCCAACTGTTCATGAATCGGGGGATTCCCAAATCTTGTTTATTGACCCTGGGGCAGTCACAGGGATTAAACAAACATATTGATAATAAAAAGGGAGTTGGGAAAGTTGGGACACTCAATTGAGTGGTCGCCCTAAATAATAAATAAATGGTTTATTCAGGGGTTCCCAAATAGCTATCAGATTAATGAATAGCTGTTAGCTGGGCCAACAAAAAAATCAAGCACTCAATCCTGATAAGAAGCTTTCCGGCAGGCCGTGAACTTACTCCAGGAGGATTGAGTAACCCCCGCTGCAGCGCATATGCTGCATCCTAAACCTGTTTGTTGCACTTCGAGCCACGGATACGATTCCTTCCATTCGTCATAATGCTTCCAGATATGGGCGTTCCATACCTGGGGTATAGGAGAGAGCCATGACGATTGTGTATGTATGTATAATATTAAAAGATAATATATATATATATATATTATATATAAATATTATATTTATAATATATTGATATTTATTGAATATATGATATATATAATATATAATAGAACATAAATAATATCATATTTATAATATAAAATATTTGAATATCAATAATATAATAATATAATATAATATAATACAATATAATATAATATAATTAATTTTATATAATATAAAATAATATAATCTAATCTAATATAATATAATATTAATACAATAAAATATAATATAATATAATATAATTTAATTTAATAATATATAATATAATAAATAATTTAATAGAGTATAATTTATAATAAGATTTATTATAATACAATTATATAATAAATTATAATAGTATAATACAGCTATAATTTAATATAACATTTTATGAAAGAATATATAATATATAATATAATATAATGTAAGATAATATAATATATATAATATTATTATTATATAATAATATAACATGATATAATATTATATTATACTGTAAATAATATATATATAACATTAATATACTGTAACTAACATTGACATATCTTATTTTGAAGACTCACAGACTTGGCCACTAAAAGGGAGCCAAGTGTCTGAACGACGAATGCTCGCAAGCAAGACCATGGCCCACAATGGCACTTCCGGATCAGAACCACATTGCCATGCTTTTGTTGTTTTCATGACAGTAAGTCCAGTTTGTGAAATCCAGGCTGCCATGTAATTGTTGGGCTACTCACTGACAGATTCCACAAATCCATCCATCACTATATTCAAGTGAAATTTAGTCAAAAATACATTGTTGTAAATTATTGTTGTCAGATTTTTCATTGTAAAGTTTATTGTAAAGTTTATTGCCGGGTTCACCCGGCACTTCATTGAGCTGAAGCCCCTGCAAGACCCAAAGCAGTGCCCAATCACTCCGACCAACATGGCCATCAGCAGCCTGATCTCTGAGGTTCTGGCTGGCTGCAGCAGCCACGCAGTGCAGGGGCGGTTGCGAGCTGCCGGCCCCTTTTCTATGGGGATTTAGGCAATAACCCAATGGTATCTTCTGAACGAAATAAAATTGGTCAGTTACCAATTTTCTCAAAGGCGCCTCGTCATCACTTATTCAATGGTAATTTCAGGATCCTAAAATGGAGGTTCTGTACAAGGCTCTGTTTTGTGGGGATATTCCCTTACATAGGCCTTATATATGGTAGGTACCTCCAATTTAGGTTCCTGAAATGACCATTGACTTATCTCTGGGTCTGACACATCATTGGGTATATACCTATACCTGCTGGGGAGTCATTGTTTGAAATATTTGCCTGCACTTTTTACTTATCTTAACAGCAGGCCAGTTTAAATAATTTAAAAACATTAAAAACATTAAAAACACAAGCCTCTTGGGGGATTAATGTTTTTAATGTTTTTAATTCCAAAATCACAGGTCTCAAATCTCGGATTCTGGAGCCTCTGTGTTTTTAATGTTTTTAATGTGTTTAATGTTTTTAATGTTTTTAAATCAATTAAAAACATTAAAAACATTAATCCCCCGAAAGGCTTGTGTTTTTAATGTTTTTAATGTTTTTAATTGATTTAAAAACATTAAAAACATTAATCCCCCAAAAGGCTTTTGTTTTTAATGTTTTTAATTGATTTAAAAACATTAAAAGCATTAATCCCCCAAAAGGCTTTTGTTTTTAATGTTTTTAATGTTTTTCATTGATTTAAAAACATTAAAAACATTAAAAACATTAAAAACACAGAGGCTCCAGAATCCGAGACTTGAGACCTGTGATTTTGGAATTAAAAACATTAAAAACATTAATCCCCCAAGAGGCTTGTGTTTTTAATGTTTTTAATTCCAAAATCACAGGTCTCAAGTCTCGGATTCTGGAGCCTCTGTGTTTTTAATGTTTTTAATGTTTTTAAATCAATTAAAAACATTAAAAACATTAATCCCCCAAAAGGCTTGTGTTTTTAATGTTTTTAATTGATTGAAAAACATTAAAAACATTAAAAACACAAGCCTTTCTGGGGATTAATGTTTTTAATGTTTTTAAAGCAATTAAAAACATTAAAAACATTAAAAACACAAGCCTCTTGGGGGATTAATGTTTTTAACGTTTTTAATTCCAAAATCACAGGTCTCAAGTCTCGGATTCTGGAGCCTCTGTGTTTTTAATGGTTTTAATGTTTTTAAATCAATTAAAAACATTAAAAACATTAATCCCCCGAAAGGCTTGTGTTTTTAATGTTTTTAATGTTTTTAATTGATTTAAAAACATTAAAAACATTAATCCCCCAAAAGGCTTTTGTTTTTAATGTTTTTAATTGATTTAAAAACATTAAAAACATTAAAAACATTAAAAACATTAAAAACACAAGCCTTTCGGGGGATTAATGTTTTTAATGTTTTTAAATCATTTAAAAACATTGAAGCGTTAACAAGGCTCAAAACATTCAAACTAGTCGGAACAAAATAGTACCTAAAGGTCTATCACACATATATATATATATACATATATATATATATATACATATATATTTATATACATATATATATACCTATCTATATATATATATACTGTATATATATACATATATATATATACTGTATATATATACATATATATATATATATACTGTATATATATACATATATATATACTGTATATATCATATGGTTGTGTTGTGATTCATATTTTTCTGGAAGTCACCTTCAATGGACTTTCTGGGTTCTCAACTTGGGAGAACTTCGGTGATTTTTGGGGAAATCTGGGTCTGCCAGAAACTTGGATATACCGTATGATATACCCTCTGGTAATTTAACATAGCTATTGAAAATCACCATTTATAGTGAATTTTCCCATGAAAAATTGTGATTTTCCATAGTTATGTTAAATTACCAGAGGGTACCCTTCAAATGGGCATCTAAAGGGACATCGTGATTAGCCATTGGCCTAAAAGGCGTAACTAATTAGCGGTAAACCCAATGATGTACAGATTTTGGACCTGGTTCATACAAGCCAGTAGTATCACGATTTTGGGGATCGTTTATTGTAACGGGTTTACCGTTTACATCCGTCTACCACATTACCTATTCTCAGACAAAGAGAGTAATAGGTAATGTTAATGAGAATAGGTTTATAATAATTATCACATTACCTATTCTTAGACTCATAATAATTACCTATTGTTGGGTTTACCGTTTACCTATGGGTCTATCCTACAGTGTTTCCCTTCCCATTCATCGGCTCAGGGCTTTAGCTGCGGCAGCAACGGCGAGCGTGGCGACGGCGTCAGCGGCACTTGGGGGAAGGCTGGGAAGAGAACTGCGCAAGGGGGGCGGCGGTGGGGGGACGAAGGTCGGGATACGTGTATGTATATATTTATTTATTTATTTATTTATTTATTCATTTACATCATGTGCATAATGATACAGTAAATGTATATATAATTATATATATATACACATACATTGTGTCGGTATATTCTATATTTATATCCCAAAGATATGGCGTGTCTATAGGACATATTATCATGATATGTATATATATATATAACTATATATATAATGATGATAAACCAGTGGAATAAAGCACTGGAGTTTGGGGTAGACAATTTTCAGACAGACCCATATGAGTTTGGATATGTGTTCATTACTACTGTGATCTACTGTATATATACTGAAGATTGTCTTCTTTGTGACTATCTCCAAGTCGGAATACGGGAATCATCCTGAGTTCTGATCATCCTCAGTTTGCAAATTTTACATCCCCATAGGATCCATGTATGGTATATATATGGTAACATTTACCATCAATATACCCCAGTCATGTTAGCATATATACCAGCACCATGGATCCTATGGGATCTGGATTGAAAAGAACGCCAAATATTGGGGAACCACCAACTTCCGGTTGGAAGCCTAACAAAGGCCATGTCCAAAAGGCAACTCATGGAGCATTGTGGATACTCGCCGCTGGCAGCCACAGGGCACGACCTGCGCCCTACAGAAGTTCCTCAACTCAAGGACGAAGTTTTCTGGGTGGTGACAAATGGGATGATTACCCTCTGGTAAACTAACATAACTATGGAAAATCACCATTTTTCATGGGAAAACTCACTATAAATGGGCCATTTCAATAGCTATGTTAAATTACCGGAGGGTACATAGGCCATAGAACTGGGCGTTCCATGGAGTTCCCACAACTTTATCATGTTGCATTATTTGTTTTCCTTATTCAAAAAAATACTGGGTGCTAATGACTCATACAGTTGGTATTCTACATAAATGATTTAAATGGCCTAATACAGTACATTGATATATATATATATATACACAGTACCTTTTGACCGCAGTCTGTGCTTGTCTTTTCGTTATTTGCGCTGCTTAGTTTGGGCCTCCACAGCTGAATCAAAACACCGACTCTTCCAGCGCTGTTGGTGGGGTCTCGCAAGTCTACACGCAGCAAATTCTTCCGTTTTCGTTCAGGTTTGATGTGTGATCGTTGTTTGTAGTACAGTAAGTGAAACCGTGACTTATTAGCAAGAGAATGAGATCATCACTCCAGGTACCGCATGTTCACACTTCCAGACATTGACCCATCGACGGCAGGAAAGCTGCTGCAACTCTGCATGACATTTTCACCACTGCCCCGGAGCAAAAGGATCTCGAGGCCATTGAACATCATCGAACATCATCGACCATCGCTACCTGGGTTCTGTTCAGAAACTACAAGTCTTAGTCGCATATGGTACCATAATGTACCATAGTACGGATGTTTTAGATTGTCTTAAGGTGTTTCTTGAATCGGGATATCATGGTGTAGACTACTGGGGTGACTTCCTCCCCCTGAAAAATATGAAAGTCGTTGGGGATCCTCAGTTTTTTGGCGAGATATCCCCCTTGGAATTCCTCTAAAGAATCAGACAACCCAGGTTGTCCCAAAAAAAGCTGTCTTTTGAGGTCAAAAAAGTAGTTTTTTTTCCACATGGCTAACCTGGACTCCTTGTTTTTTGCTAGGGGCATCCTGGGTCATTATTTTTTAGAGAGTGCATTTTAACGGCCAATTAAAATGCCTTTGGATTTTTTTTAAATTTGCAAAAACTGCTGTTGTGCGCTGGCCATCGCGTGTATCACAGATGAGTCAAACAAACTCAATTGACAACAAGTTTCAAATTGAATGTTTTCTGTCATCCACGTGGCTAAAACGGACCTTTGATTCTTTAGAGAATTGCTTTTTGTATTTGTATTTGTTTGCTTTTGTTTGTAGTTGGTTGCCAGGGTCATGATGATCTTTAGAGGGTCAGACTCCCAGGTATCCTAGGTAGTGATTCTTGAGATGTGCCATTTCAGTAGTTCAAGGTCGACTGCCGTTTTTTCTCTAAAAAATCAGGTGTCCATGTGAGTAACCGACAAAATTAGCGGAAGACCAAAGTAGTGGGGAGTGGACATGGGATGTTCAAATTTGTGCTAAAACATTCACAACCGATAGGGGACCACCGACTTACCGACACCCTATTTTTGCACATAGCATGGAAGTAAGAAACCTTCACAACCGATAGGGGACCACCCACTTTGGCAATGTCCATCGCGGGTAGTAAATAATTGTGTCCGCCACTTGTGAGCAGGCGTATTCCCAGGTGTATGTTGAAATGATTTTGATTGGGAGGCTGGTGTGACCATGTCCATTCATGAAATTATATATATATATATATATTATACGTATGGGTGTATATATATATACATACATACATATATATATATATACATATATATACATATGATATATAATATATACATATTATACGTATGGTGTGTATATATGATATATATTATATATACACATACGTACGTACGTACGTACATACGTACGTACGTACGTACATACAGACAGACATACATACATACAGACAGACAGACATACACACATACACACACACATACAGACACACACATACAGACACACACATACATACACACACATATACATACATATATGCCTACCTATCTACCTACCTACCTACCTACATACATACATTACATTACATTACATTACATTACATTACATTACATTACATTACATTACATACATATTGATGTAAGTAGAGACATATACTGATAAATACATCCATGCCACGTCTAGAACTCTCCGTGGCGACCAATCCGACGTCTAACTCACTTTGCGGCGTTCCATTGCCTGGCGAGGTCCTACTGCAGCGAAAAAACATACCCTCTGGTTATTTAACATAGCCATGGTATAGCTGGCCCATAGAAATAGATGGTTTACCATGGTTTACCTATTAAAAATGGGTGGATCTTTCCATGGCTATGTTAAATAACCAGATGGTAATGTTAGCCAGGTAAATCCAGTAGCATTCCCATCTTTATCCATTAAATCCCATGTAAGAATCAAGATTTTATTCAAACCATCAAACCTATCTTTAGATCATTTTGATCATTTTTTCATCCCCATCTTCACCCTGGAAATCCCATTTTTCATCCTAGAAATTCCTGTCGCAAATTTCCATGGTAGGCCGCCTGTTGGGCCCTTGCGCTCTTTGGTGGAGCTGAAGAATGGATGGATGAGGCGCGGTTCGATGGCGGTTGCGGCGGCCACAAGCAATGGGGAGTTCCATGGATCTTCAATTTATGATTGGTTTATAGTGGAAAATACAGTAAATCTGATGAACATGGATGATACATGGGATGGTTGGTTGATAACGGAAAATTCTATTAAAACATGATTTAACATTGGTGATAAATGTGGTATGTCACCATTTTATGAAACCTCATCATGTCCCTGGGATGTTTGTATTGTACAGTATATTATATTCAATATGTTTAAAAAAAATCATTGACATTAGCCATGATTATTTATATTATATATGTCCAAGTCTGGGTTGAGAATGCTAATGGTTGATGGGTATGACCCATGGAGCTTTGGTAAATACCTTGTGATAGAAACGACCAAGGGATGTTGTTCCATCCCAAGCTTTGGGTTGAGGGACCAACGGGACCAACGAAAGAAGCAAGATGGAACTTGAGATGAACAGCAAGCAGATAGAGATTTTTCAGTGGAAGATGATAGAAAAAAACCATGGATTAATATATTAATAATCATTAATACCCATTTTGAGTAGCCTACTATCTCTGTATCATTGGGTTCAGTGATGAAACACCAACACCTTCCACGATTCTTCCGGCAGATCACGTGGTGATTTTTTATCCCCTGCCGGCAGATGCTACGTAATTCACTGGGGAATGATTTATCCAAATATGGGGAGGCGATGAAACCATGAAGTTGGTGATGTTCCTACAGAGTTGTCTATTTTTAACAATAAAAATATGAATCAATGATGGAGAATCCCTCATAAATGGAGGTATCAATGATGGTATAGATGGAGGTATTCATTGTTTTGACAACTGATGATTTGGTGAAATTGTCTATATTTTGCTTGTTATGACGATATGACGATGATTGTTATTGTTTAAGACCAATGATAATGATTGTTTACTACTGTTCACTATTGTTTACTATTGTTTAAGACCAAGTTATTGCAATGATAATGATTGTTTACTATTGTTCTTATTGTTATGCGATTGTCATTATAACAGTATTGTAATATATACACATATAAATATGACCTCCCCCGCCATGTTGCAGCAGGGGCCATACCCTGAAGAGGCATCGACATGGCCGGAAAATCTGCAGTCTATTCATGCCATATTGGGATTTTTCAGCCCAGGCAGGTTAGATGTTTGCCGATTGAATCCACATTTTCGCATTTTCGGATATCCTCCAGTAAGCCAACGTATGGAAAACCCCATGGTGTCCAAACGGGAAATCTGATACAAATGGATTGTCTAATCCCATTCGTAAACTTAAATCCGACATGTATATAGCCATATTTCATTATATAAGACATCATGTTTCTCATATTTTATCAACATCTTATTTCATGAGAAGACATGAGTTTATCATAGTTTATCAACATGTTTTTTCACCATCTTTGGTAACAAAGCAACGGCGTTTTTTGATGACGAATTTCATCCAGGAAGTCTTCGACTTGCTGCCAACATTGGACCAGAGTCTCATCGACACCGGCCGCCGGACTGCCAAGGCGGGAGCCAGCTCACCAATGAATGGGATATAGCTATTATATAATATGGAATATAAGGACAAAACAAGGACATTGTATAATTTTAGCTTTATATATATATCCTTGTAACATATGTCAATCCTATATCCTATAAGTGGTTTTAACATGTTAAATAGCTACTAAGGGGATATAAATCATGGAATATATAATGATATATATATGCATATACATACATATGTAACTACATGTGGGGTATTGAAGGGTATTGATATAATGAGGTATATATAATACTATTGATAATGTCCATTAATCCAATCCGCCGTTCAGCCCTTAAACACCCAGAACGCATGATGATTAAGATTACTAATGCAAACCATCCACTATCTCGGTTTATTGTTGGGTCTATGACTTGGATTATTTGATATTATTTGACATGACCCCCGAAATGGATACGACTGGGTACTGGCACGGTTTATCATTGGGCTCACCACACAATCATCTTGATCAGATTACGCGCAGATCTACAGCATGTTCATTGAAGGAGACTCTTCCGGTATACATCTTTGAAGTCTCAATCAATGAACAGTTGTTTGCCCATTTTAGCCGAATTGATGGTTGTTGGGGACATGCCAATGGCCACTTAAAAGCAGACACCAGCTGGATTGAAATCCTCATGAACCATCGAACATGTGGTTACAGTGGTTACATTCATGTTACATCACCAGTGCGTGTTTGGGAACTATCTATCCTAGTTATTTAACAATTTTAAACAAGGAAGCAATTTTTGGGATTCTCATGAGAGCGTCGCGTCACGTCTCAAGCAGGCACGGCAAGTGCTGCGAGACAATGGACTTCCGGTGCCGCCAGAATGGTGTGGATCCCCAGGGGAGGCCATGTTTCCAACTACCATGTGGGGATATACCATCCATTGCTTATAGTAGCTAATAATATATAAGCCATCCCCAATATCAATGGAAAATGTGTATATAGCAAGATGATATCCATATAACTATCCATTGCTGATGATATTGGGGATGGCGATTCTAGTTATCACTAATTAAGAGTAGAAAGCCCTAGTGGTTTTTAGTGGTATTTAGTGGTAAAAACCCGAAGTCCCCGTAAACGTTTCCTTCAACTACATTGAACAAGGTTTTGTTCCCACCATCTCCAAGCCAACATTTTCGCTACAGAAATGTGGGTTTCCATCAATGGGATACCCCAAAATGGATGGTTTATAATTGAAAATCCTATTGAAAAATAGATGAGAACTGGGGTCATCCCCATTTTAGGAAACCTAAATCAATCTCCCCATGTTTCTGCAGTGAACTGGGACCCCAGTGATCTCCTCATTCTCCCCACCAGGTGGGGCACCGCTCAGCTCTTGGCCAACCTGGGCGATGCCTTGTGGATCCAAGCCGCTGGTAGCGAGGCGGCGGTGGCCGCCGTGCTCTCGTTGAAGAGCCTGGAAGCAGCGGATGAGGCGCCGAGTTGGTGGAGTTGGGGTTGGGGGAAATCCGTGGGGATTTCAATGAAGGATGGTGACTGATGAGTTAATTATGAGTTATTGTTAACAATGGTGAATGATAGTCGATAAATGGTTGATCATTGGATTTCACGATGGTGAATTAATTCATGGATTTCATGATGGTTAGTAAGTGTTAATGGTGAAATGGCAAAACGGGAATGCACAGGCAATGAAGCAGTGAAGCATCAATGGTGGGATATTATGAGGATATCGGAGGAATATCATGATGGAATAAATGGGATATAGCTCACCAACTTGACGTGAATCATGGGAAACACTCGCCGGTGGTGAATGAAGGGAGCGGATTGGAGCTATGATATCCACATTCCCTAGCTACCAAATCTAGCTACAAATGGGGAGCCAAGGAGCTACGAATAGAGTTTCCCAATCGAGCGATGTTGAATTCACCATTGTTTGGTGGACTCTCCATATTTTCTGAGGTAAAATAGTATATACATTGTATACATCCTTAAATTCCATAAAAAAAATCCATTTACCCTCTGGTAAACTAACATAGCTATGGAAAATCACCATTTTTAATGGGGAAACTCACTATTAATGGCCATTTTCAATAGCTATGTTAAATTACCAGAGGGTAACCAGCCGTTTGTTTAACTAGTTCTTCCCGAAACCAGGGCACTTCCTTCGAAGGATTCAACCGAAACCTTCCGAGGCACCTCCAGGTGTTTGGGAGATGGGTGTGGCAGTCCTGCTGGCGCACCTGAGAGACGGCATGCCTACAGCGGTGGAGGTGCCTGCGGAATGGGACAGAAATATTAGGACAAGTTTGTGGGGCAGATGTTCATAAAGTTTGAGGTCATGTGGTAAATCATTATAAATTCATTTGGGTTTGGTGATTTGATGTATGTGTTTTCACACGTCGCCACACATTTGTCGTTCAATGCCAATTCTGTTGGTTGAATTCCTGTCCTCTCAACAGGCCCAAGTGCCCCAACTTGGAACGGCATGATCCTCCCCATCATGGAACACATCACCATCCCATTGATCTCCCTGCAATTATATATTATATATATAAATTATAGAACCATTATCAATTATCAACCCCACATTAATGAACCCTAATTCATCAGGGGAAAGAAACTGTATCAAACAGTGACGACTTCCTCTATGAATTGCATCAAATCGCTCCACTAAAGGGGGTTTAGTCCCAGCAATCCGGTGCGGGGCAGGTGGTTTGCCATGCTCTGGGCAAGCTGATGGATATGCACTATCTGCGGGTGGAGGTGAGGGAAGCGGAACCGGGAACTGATTGGATGTCTAGATGGGATTCAAATGGCCACAGGGAAGCCAGGCAAGCAGCGTTGGCGCAGATCTGTGAGCCGCAAGATGGGGAAATCAGCAATTCAGGAGTTTGAACTAAGAAAAATACATAAAGTGGGACTTGACTTGAGCAATTGACTTGAGTAACAATGATGTGCTTAAACCAACAAAGGCGAAAAATGAGCCTATCTCCAAGTGGGAACGTCCAGCGACTGTTCAAAATCATCATCCAAGAATTGAGAATAGGATGCCAACAGATCAGTTGGCGGTGTTCAGTGCTGTACTTCTGATTCTTATTGTATTTCAGTCTCCGTATTCCAATCTGAGGGACATCCCAGAGTGTCCCATTTAAAGAATTAGCCTCTGGTAATTTAACATAGCTATTGAAAATGACCATAGAAAGAGTGGATTTTCCCATTGAAAATGGTGATTTTCCATAGTTATGTAAACGTTTACCAGGCCGGGTAGCTTCCAGACATTTAAGCATACCTGAAGAGGTAGCTCCTGGTCACCAGAGTGAACTCTCGTGAAGCCCCGCCTTGAGGTCCTCGATAGCGCTCGAAAGGTCTTAGCGCAACGCTTGCGTGCAAACGCGTCCATCCACCAGGTGGGAGTCACAGTTGTTGCTATTGCTGGCATCCAAAGATATTCAAAGAAAAAATGCTGGCATAGTGATTTCATATCATTCTTGTATGTTTGATCATGTTTGGGATTATGACTATTCTGACGCAAATTGTATTGATGTTTTCCGATGTTTTCCGATGTTTTCCGGGCATGCATTCTGGTCACCTCTGGAAATGACAAGCACTGTAAATCCACCGATCGCCTTGGTTTATATCACCAGGTTGGGTTACGTTTTCGTAGCTTCCATTCCTGTTCTATCCTGTTCTGACTCATGTAGCTTTCAAAATACTTCAACACCCTGTTTGTAGCTGAAGATCCAATTTTTGTTTAAAATCCCATGATAATCCATGACAACAATGTGTTGTAATCCCATTTGGAGGTTTCCTAAGTCATGGGGGTACCCCCAAATCATCCAGTCATGGATGACCATGACTTAGAACTTGAAATCTATGGTGACGACTGAGGATCCCCCATTTCTTAAAGGATCCCCATGACTTAAGAAACCCCCATTGGTGCAGCCTGAAGCCACGTTGCCCACCAGGCCATTGCTCGAGGTTTGACGGCCATGCGCTCCTTGGTGAACCAACTGTGGCCCGTTCTGAGGCGGGATTTTCATTTGCGATGGGGGGATGATCCCAAGAAAATCCAAGAAATATAGAAAATTCATGGCTATTGATCAGAGTGGCTGGTTACATCCTTGTCACTTGACAATCAAGGCCAGATATTTGCTCCCATCAAGCAGCAGAAAAAAAAATCTGTATCTCATCCCGCCAACAAGAAATATCTACCTAGAAACCAAGGGACCAAAAATTGCGAATGTTTGTGTTTTTATACAGGTGTCCTGTCTGGGGGGTTGGAGGTTTTTTTCAGGGGATCGTCGGGATCTAGGAGTCCACCCATCCATTAGTTTGGTGTTCAAAAATCCTCTTCCAGGAGCACCCCTGAGACCTGCAGACTTGGCCCAGAAATTACAATCAGCCTGGAGTACTTGGCCAATGTGCCGTGGTTTTTTCCATGTTTTTCCAGCAAAACTTCCTCATGGGGATCCTACTCTAGGATGATAGGATGGGTCTACTTGGTTTGAATTGTCCAAGGGGCTGATGGAGTTGGAGGGCAGCTGAAAAGCTGCCATATATTTGCTGCATTTCAGAGTGTCTGCATTTCCACCACGAGTCATCTAGTTGAAGATCTCTAAACCAGCATTTCAAATTTGCCAACATTTGGGATAAATCGTTATATGGACGAAGCCGTACAATCATGTTGTTGATTACATATGATTACAATTGATTACACATGATATGTCATCCATACAATATGATATTATATATATAGAGAAAGATGTATATATATAGAGAAAGATATATATAATATAATATATATATATATATATAATATAATATATATAATACATATATAATACATATATATTATAATATATATATAATACATATATATATATATTATAATATATATATATAATACATATATATTATAATATACATGTTTGCAACATGATATCCAAAAATGTCCCGCATCCAATGGCTGGAACAGAGAGCCCTCCAGCTGGTCTGCCGCTGCCAGGGAAAGGCTCTCAAGTCCCCATGGCCTTGACATGAAGATTGCTGCAGAGGTGCTGCTGGTAGCTCCTGGATTTCACGATTTGAAGAGATGGCCATGGGCCATGGGGATTTCTGTGGAAATATGGCCAAGTTGATATGGGTATGGATCAATACCTATTAATACCATTTTTAGGTGGATGAACATCCATTTACCAGCTATTTTGATGTTCACCAGGGGTACAAGGTTTTGACACACTGCCATATTAATTTTGATATGATATTTGGGTGCGGAAAAACCTTGAAACAACCATCGTAAATGTGTGCAAAATCCTGATTCACCATTGGATATGCGGGCATCCTATTCTCAAACAAAGCCATCATATCTTAGGATAAAATTTCCCTTCACTGCGTGCAGTTGCGACTGGGGTATATTGGAAGATACGGCAGCCCCCACGGAAACCATCAGCTAACTATCAGGATCCAAATGTGGACAAAATCGGAGAATCCCCTGAATAGGGAAATCCTCAAATCATCCATAAATAGTGGATTCTCCAGATTTCTCCAGCACAGCATCTTAGATTCCATTCCCAAAGTGTATCGATATCCCAGATCTCGTTGATCTCGTTGGCGCCAAGAAATGGTGTTCCATGTGATGATCCCATGATGGGCTCTGCCAGTTTCACAAAGGAACGAACGCATGCTATGGCACCTGTCTCGGGCAGATGATGTCCTCAATTCCTACACTCACTATATATCATTAATATATCATTACCCATAGGATCCATGTATGCTATATATGGTAACATTTACCATCAATATACCCCAAATGTTAGCATATATACCATACATGGATCCTATGGGTTATATCATATCGCATGAATCGGGTATCATTTATCCAAGCCACGGAACATTTAAGCCAGTTTTAGATAGTTTTAGATGATGTACCTAGTAAGCATCCTATTGAACATGGCCGACATGGCCATTGTCATGCCGCTGCCCAGAGGGCATGCCCGAATCGGTCCTTTTCGACGGCTTTGAAGGCTCTGGCTGCATTGGACAATCAATTGCTCCTGTCGCTTGGAAAGGAGAAGGTACCACTGGTGAAGCCATGGCAAAGCCCAACAGGGACCCTGGGTCTGATTCATGATAAGGTTGGCTTCGCTTCATTTTTGGGTGTACCAATTTACAAATGGATCACAAGGTTGGGCTTTTTGTTAACCCTTTTTGAATGTTGACCATCTGAAAATGGGGTCAGACATTTTGAGCAGGATCATGATTCTGATGGGTTAAACATGGTTAAACCGCACAGCTAGCCAATGAGGAGTCCGTTCAAAAGGCTTGGGTCACCCAGCTTCCAACTCATTCAAGTAACATTTGGACATTAAAATTGTATTGTGATCTCCAAATTCAGTGAGTTCTACCCTCAACAAAATGGCCATATCCATATTCATGGGGTATTCCCCCAAGTTATGCTATCATCCATGGATTTTTTCATGGGAAAAAACCCATGGTTTTCCCCATGAAAAAATCCAAGCAGCTCTGATCCCAGGGTTTCCTCCTAAGGTCTGAGCACGTCCTGGTGTCCAGCGCAGCGGTCTTGGGCCCACGACTCATGGATGAGGCAGATTTGGGGATGCCCATAGCCAGGCTGCCATAGTTTCATGGGAAAAAATGATGAAAAATTATGAGAATCGGAATTGGAGGTACCTTATTAAATCTTATTATCCTTATTTCCAGACAATATTTTTTTCGGATGCAATGATACTGTGGATGGTTGCGGAAGAAATCCTGCACCACCAAACGGATGGTTGGAAACCCTATAAACCCTATAAACAATGGGATAAACCACCTGTATACATGATTATGCCAACTATACAGTACAGTATGCCTGGTTTGCATGCTGTTGGCTGACTTGATCTGCAACCTATTCAATCCAAACTTAAAGGAAGTACGGATAATGGAAGGAACCTGAAGGTACAGTTCTTTTTTGAGGATCATCCTGTAAGATCAAAAAAATCACAAGACGACTACCACCAAATTTGACATAGACCCGGAGAATAGCTGATGTTTGATATTTGTTTTGATGAATGTGCCATTCCAACCCCTTTTACATGGGCAGGGTCTGTGTTAGTTCAGGGGATGTTTTACAGCATCATCCATGACTAAGACACCTGGGCCGGTCCATGTCCCATGCGGCTTGGCACTTCCAGGAGTGGATTGTTCGCTTGGGTGCGTGCCATGGACTGGCAGCTTTTGGTACTAAGGCGCTGGTGCTTCGTTGCTTCATCCGTGGTTTTGGATACCTCGAAATCAGAAGCAGTGCCTTGTTATGTTGGCCTCATGTCTCAGGAAGCCCAAACCGATTCAACACACATATATGATAATATATGTATATATGGATTGGTTGAATGGATCATATACATACGTGTCCAACATATTCAAACATATCATATGTGGATAGATCACATATATATATATACATATATGCATGAAGATATCATCATATAATATTTATTTATTTATCAATAAAGCATGAAGATATTGGATGATGCAACTGGATTTCAGGCTGCGGGTCCATACCTGGATCAGATCTTGGAGCTGGTTGAGGATGAGGAGGCGCCCTTTGTTTCTAATGGGTATCTGATGGGTATATGATGGGATATGTACTATGACTATATAATAGATACAACTGGCAATAATAGACCATGATAGATATACCATGATACTATTATGTATACTGGTAGATCTACCCTCCGGAAATCAACTTGCAATGGACCATCTGAATTGTTATTTTCCCACTAGAAGCTTCATTTGTAGAGATTGTCTATTAAATTGTCAGTGTGTATATATATATATGTGTATGTATGCATAGGAGACAAGGATAAGTAACAAACCTGCATAAGGAAATTATATAAGATTGGTTGAAATTGTCATATATCTAGTTGGCATTAGATGAAATACAATTCGAATATATCTAATGGGTATCGGTATAGAGTATGTTATGCGATTAGCAATCATAGAATGGCATATATTAATATGAGAATGATGTGGTTGGTCGAGGAACATCTGATGGGTATATACAGAAATATGATCTAACTGATCTATGTAATGACTTTTGTGGAGGATACATACAATATGATACATATATATATATATATACGTATATATATATATATACATATATATATGCATATATATATATGCAAAAATAATTTATCCTGTTCTGGGGGTGGCTCAAGCGCCACTCAGTTAGATGAAACCCGGTGAAAACTCAGTCATTGGCCTTGGCGGCCAAGGTATCTCTGCGATATAATCTGGGCCCCCCCAAAGAATTGCTTGTTTATCATCATGTTCCCTAATAAACTGGCATACCTTGGGGGTATAGTATAGTGGTATAGTATAACGATTCATAACAATTCTGGTTCTTCTGAGTGGACGGGTATCCGGGCCCCACAACTGACCTGACCAGGGCCCGGTGGTGGCTGCAGCTGCGGCAGCCGTCAGCAAGCTGCTTCATGACAAGACGGATCGCAGGACCCACCTGTGATCCCAGTCGCCTCCCCATTGGAAGATGGGAAACTTCTCAGGAACCCAGGTTTTTTGAGGGTAATGTTGGTTCCTGATTAGTGTGTGGCCCCCCCCCCCCTCCCCTAAACTATATCTGGACTCTCTTTAAAGTAGAAAAGCAAAAAAATTCTTCCCAAAAGAAAAACATATCCTCGATTAAGTAAGGATTTCAATTGGCTACAATTGAAATCTACTGTAATTACTATTGTTTTTTTTGCCGATGAAGTTGTGGTACTTGTAGTACTTGTAGTACTTGTAGTACTTGTAGTACTTGTAGTACATGTAGTACTTGTAGTACTTGTAGTACTTGCAGTACTTGTAGTACTTGTAGTACTTGTAGTACTTGTAGTACATGTAGTACTTGTAGTACTTGTAGTACTTGTAGTACTTGTAGTACATGTAGTACTTGTAGTACTTGTAGTACTTGTAGTACTTGTACTACTTGTAGTACTTGTAGTACTTGTAGTACTACAAGTACTTGTAGTACTTGTAGTACATGTAGTACTTGTAGTACTTGTAGTACTTGTAGTACTTGTAGTACTTGTAGTACTTGCAGTACTTGTAGTACTTGTAGTACTTGTAGTACTTGTGGAAAAGCTGTTCTTTAATAAGGGTTTAATATCCTTTGGGAAAGGCTTGGAGTTTGAATTTGGCAATTTTGGAACAGGCTTGCTTCCCTTCTGGGCTTCCAGGGGCTGCTCTGGCACAGCTTGCTGCAATAGTGAACCCAGCAAACAAACCTACTAAAGTGAAATGGAGCCTCTCCTGGCCCAGGACCTTGGAAAATTGTGGAAAAGCTGTTCTTTAATAAGGGTTTAATAAGGGATTGGTTCTTTTGGGAAAGGCTTGGAGTTTGAATTTGGCAATTTTGGAAAAGGCTTGCTTCCCTTCTGGGCTTCCAGGGGCTGCTCTGGCACAGCTTGCTGCAATAGTGAACCCAGCAAACAAACCTACTAAAGTGAAATGGAGCCTCTCCTGGTCCAGGGCCTTGGAAAATTGTGGAAAGCTGTTCTTTAATAAGGGTTTAATAAGGGATTGGTTCTTTTGGGAAAGGCTTGGGTTTGAATTTGGCAATTGCCTTTGGAAAAGGCTTGCTTCTCTTCTGGGCTTCCAGGGGCTGCTCTGGCACAGCTTGCTGCAATAGTGAACCCAGCAAACAAACCTACTAAAGTGAAATGGAGCCTCTCCTGGTCCAGGGCCTTGGAAAATTGTGGAAAAGCTGTTCTTTCATAAGGGTTTAATAAGGGATTGGTTCTTTTGGGAAAGGCTTGGAGTTTGAATTTGGCAATTTTGGAAAAGGCTTGCTTCCCTTCTGGGCTTCCAGGGGCTGCTCTGGCACAGCTTGCTGCAATAGTGAACCCAGCAAACAAACCTACTAAAGTGAAATGGAGCCTCTCCTGGTCCAGGGCCTTGGAAAATTGTGGAAAAGCTGTTCTTTAATAAGGGTTTAATAAGGGATTGGTTCTTTTGGGAAAGGCTTGGGGTTTGAATTTGGCAATTTTTGGAAAAGGCTTGCTTCCCTTCTGGGCTTCCAGGGGCTGCTCTGGCACAGCTTGCTGCAATAGTGAACCCAGCAAACAAACCTACTAAAGTGAAATGGGGCCTCTCCTGGTCCAGGGCCTTGGAAAATTGTGGAAAAGCTGTTCTTTAATAAGGGTTTAATAAGGGATTGGCTCTTTTGGGAAAGGCTTGGGTTTGAATTTGGCAATTTTGGAAAAGGCTTGCTTCCCTTCTTCCAGGGGCTGCTCTGGCACAGCTTGCTGCAATAGTGAACCCAGCAAACAAACCTACTAAAGTGAAATGGAGCCTCTCCTGGTCCAGGGCCTTGGAAAATTGTGGAAAAGCTGTTCTTTAATAAGGGTTTAATAAGGGATTGGTTCTTTTGGGAAAGGCTTGGAGTTTGAATTTGGCAATTTTGGAAAAGGCTTGCTTCCCTTCTGGGCTTCCAGGGGCTGCTCTGGCACAGCTTGCTGCAATAGTGAACCCAGCAAACAAACCTACTAAAGTGAAATGGAGCCTCTCCTGGTCCAGGGCCTTGGAAAATTGTGGAAAAGCTGTTCTTTAATAAGGGTTTAATAAGGGATTGGCTCCTTTGGGAAAGGCTTGGAGTTTGAATTTGGCAATTGCCTTTGGAAAAGGCTTGCTTCTCTTCTGGGCTTCCAGGGGCTGCTCTGGCACAGCTTGCTGCAATAGTGAACCCAGCAAACAAACCTACTAAAGTGAAATGGAGCCTCTCCTGGTCCAGGGCCTTGGAAAATTGTGGAAAAGCTGTTCTTTAATAAGGGTTTAATAAGGGATTGGTTCTTTTGGGAAAGGCTTGGGGTTTGAATTTGGCAATTTTGGCAAAGGCTTGCTTCCCTTCTGGGCTTCCAGGAGCTGCTCTGGCACAGCTTGCTGCAATAGTGAACCCAGCAAACAAACCTACCTTGACTGAGCTACAGCGTTTTTGAGAAAAAAATGCGTCTCAGCAATTACAGTTTTTTTTGCAAAAAAAAGGGCTCTCCCAATTTTGTTTTGCCACCAAAGCGAACCCTCCAAACAATACATGAGTTTCAGAATAATTTGGAAAAAATTTGCCACAATAGCGACCCTAGGTACTAATCAGGACCCAACATTAGAGACCATGGTTTCATGTGGATTTTTCCCTGAAATCAACGCATTGGCACAATGGATTTAGAAAATTCTGTACATTGTTTACATACCCACCTGTAGATAGACAAAACGATATGGGCGTGTCTGACAATGGGGGTTGTGTTCCCCAGAAAATATGTTTTTTTCACCTTGTCTGGCCCCTTCCCAGTCAGCCCCAGAAAATGGCCATTCAGTAGGTAAAATGATGATTCACCAATGGAATTTGCGGATTTTTGCCTAATTTTTCAGGCAAACCCAACGGATAGTACGGAAATCCATGGGGAAAGGGATGGGAACGGATCAATCGGCGGCAGGTTCCAGCTGTACGGTGTATTGCGGAGGCCGGTGGGGGCGAAGTAGGGCTTAGTACAATGTGGGGCCCCCTAGTTATAAGTTGGTTTATAACCCCATCTAACTATGGTTATAACTACTAAAAACCCTAGTTATTGTAGTTATAAACCAACTTAGCTATCTTGGGGGCCCCACATTGCAGGGGGAAGGGATTATATACAAAATGATCGTTGAAGAATGACGGCGAAAGAGCCGATGGATGTTTTGAAGACGAGTTGTTGAACATTGACTGAGGCCATCAGTCAACGGTTATCCACAGGATGAACTGAATCACTTGATGCTGGACAAACCTTGGATAGTTGAATCCTTCATTTTTTTGCTATGGGGTGTGTATATATATATGTATATTATATATATATATATTATACATATATGATTCCTGGCTAAGGCTAAACCAGGATTTTGTATGATTTTGTATTAACCAGCTAAATGGGGAAAACCTCTCATTTACAGGTGGTTTCCCCAGCTATAAACCTCCATGTACTTCGGCGATTTTCCAGCCAGCGATGTTTGATGACACCGGAGGGTGAACTCCCGATACATATCCCATGAAGTATCCATATCAACGATTCACCATTATTACCTTCTGGTAATTTAACATAGCTATAGAAAATCACCATTTTTAATGGATAGATCCACTATAAATGGCCATTTTCAATAGCTATGTTAGTTTACTGAGGGTATTCTCCATTGTTTTCCCAGTAAAATCCAATTGTTTCCGTATTAAATCCCATAGTTCGCCACGTTCTCCAGGTTACAAGCACGCCTTCCCGACAACGAAAGCGATGCATGGGTGCGTGCTGGCTGCTGTCAGGCTGGACTGACCTCTTGGGAAACACCAATTTATGGATGGAAAATAACGAACATGGTGGTTTAAGATGGTTTAACCATCAACAAACAGGGATTTCATGGGATTTACATGGGATTTACATGGGATTTACATGGGATTTACAACATGGGATTTACATGGGATTTAGTGGGACTTACTCTCCAACAGACCAACATAGCTATGGAAAATGGCCTTTTTGTAGATGACTTACCTATTAAACACCGTGATTTTTTCTATACTATAGCCATGCCGGATTCGTAGATGGTATTCTGGACCTATACACATTTTGCCTATTTAGTTTTTTGACCTAAACCTACTTTTCTTTTTGCAGGATATCTAAGATGGACCATTGAATTGGAGGATGTTGTTTCCCAGGCTTGCACTTTTTGATGTTCACAGAACTGGCTTCTAAAGACTGCATTCTCTTGCTGAAGTTCCATGAGCTTTTGGTACCCTCTAGCAATCAAACATGGTCAATGGGAATTTCAGGATCCTAAAATGGAGGTTGTACCATATAAGGCCATATTTTGTGGGGATATTCCCGTACTTAGGCCTTATATAGGCCTTATATATGGTAGGTACCTCCAATCAATCGGTTCCTGAGATGGCCAGTGACATGGCAGTGGAAAATCCGCCATTGCTTTCCATGTGATGCTGGGAACCCAGTCACACTTGTGGTTCTCCATTGCCAGGTTTCATTTATTTTCATTTCCGGATGGCAATTACCCCAGAGTTCTAAACTGATGTCAAACATGTTTGACTTTCCACCTGTGCAACGGTCAAAACATGAGTTATGGTCCCACAAAGCAGGATGGTAATCCTCTCATTTTCATGATATGGGGACGACACATCGATTTTGAAAAATCTATCACATACCATCACATACCCATGTATTGTCATAAATCCCTAATGTGCCCCTGATACTCGTCAACTTCCCATTACACATGGGTCTTGTAATCACAACATGTATTTTAACCAATATTTGTCAGTGTTCCTAATTGGTTTTTCCCAATAGTATATAACATTATTATGTCCCATCATCATAATCGGCATACTGATCCAGAAAAAAGATGTTATTAGGATCAAACACATATTAATTATATGTGTTCCCTATGTTTCCCGCGTGTTCCCATGTGTTTTCCTCAAATTTTCCCATTCCTTCGTGAATTTCTCATGTTTCTGCGACCCCTTTGGCCACGAATTGGTTGCCAATGCCCTGGCTCAGGGAATTGGCAGTGTTGGGCTGGTGCTTGACGACACCGTGCAGGTTGATTGGGATATTACCCTCTGGTAATGACTAACATAGCTATTGAAAATGGCCATTTATAGCTGGTAAACATACAAAAAGCTATTGAAAATGGCCATTTATAGATATTTATAGTTGATTTACTCATTGAAAATGATGATGTTCCATAGTTTTGTGTATGTTTACCAGAGGGTAAATGGTGATACACACTTCAAATCGTAATTCAATAAATATGACATATTATGACATATTATGACTATGATGATTATGACATATTATAAACCTCATTGGGTTGATGGTTATCATGAGTATAACCCCAAACTAGCCCATAGTAGAATATTGATTTAAATGGGCATATGTGGTTCTTAATTTCCCATCATTCGCATTAAGCCTATTTTCACTATCAATACTTCCCCATTAATTTCCCATTAATCGGAAAATGATGATTGACCAGCAGTGGATTTAGTTAGGGATTGTCCCTAAGTTGTCAGACAAATCCTTATAAAAATCATTAAGCGAACCTCTGGCTCCATGGTCTCAATGAGAACATAGAATATGTTTCTAAACCATGACAAACCTATTGGAATCATGTTGTCGATATACTGATATACCCAATAAAAATATACCCATATTAGAATACATATTAGAATACATTTTTTTTGTATTTTTTACTCATCAAGAGACCATTAAATCCCAAGAGACCCCATTAATTCCCTGTGGAAATCCCCAGGTCTTGTCGAGTCATCTCACTGATACCGAAGTCATTGTGGTGGAGGGTGCAGCCCAGGTGGGAACTGGAACTCCTTCTTTGGACATGGAGAAAACGTAGGGGAATTCAAGGGGATTTGGCGGGATTTAATGGAGTTAATTGGGATTCAATGGGGATTTAATGGGATTTAGTGGGGATTTAATGGGAGTTAACTGGGATTTAATGAGAATTTATAGAATCATATACTGGTTATTTCACAAAAAAATAGGCTGAACATGACCCAAGAGAACCAAACATTCTCTGGATTCTCTAGGTCTTAAATTGTTGACCAACTTTTTTGGAGAAATACCATTTGCATAGCTATGGAAAATCACAATGTTTGGTAGAATATGAACAACTCATCTACACATGAGCCGGGTTCATCCTGTTCCATAGCGACGTGCAATTACCGGAGGGTAGAACAAATGTTCGAGTCGTGGACACTGGAATTGTTGATGCGAATTCTTGGATCTTCTCTCATGATCTCTCAGGTTTTTTTAGCGGGACCCATAGGATCCATGTATGCTATATATGGTAACATTTACCATCAATATACCCCAAATGTTAGCATATACACCATACATGGATCCTATGGGGTATGAATCATACAGTACCAAAAAAAAGTCACATATTGGGGGGGATCCCAACGCAAAGCAATGGCTCAGAAGTGGAGATGGTTTGCCCAAGCTATTTGGTCGTCAAACCGATCAGGAAAGATAGCGTCAGTAAACTGAGTTTAATGTGTGGTAGAAATGGCCTGGGTCAGATTCAAATGTTGCTTATTCACAATAAATCTAAGCAGGAATTCTGTTCTTCTGGGGTTTCAATTCATGGCATTTCCCCACAGGTGCACCCATGCAGCAGGTATGAATAAGCAAAAATCAAAAAAGTAGAATGGACATTCTGAATATGAGTAATTCCTATTATATATGTGTTTATTTAGTTATATTTAGTTCAACATTTTACGACAGGGGCTTATTTTCAGAACAGTTTCTTATCAGAAGGGTCTGATCAATTCGCCACCTTGATCACTGGCAAGACATATCAGATGTTTGCATGGCTGGAAGAGATTTTATTGTCACTAGAAATGCTTGATGTGTAAATACATATGATATATATAACATGGAGTAACTAACCCCGGCACACCCATATGTTTAGTGACCGATGTATTGTGTATCCACTTAAGCACCCATGTTGAAAATGTCTGAAATAAATAGATCCTACAGTAAATTGACACAGATACATAACACCAACCAGTTACTGTAAGTATAAATCACATATATAATTATATATACATAATTATTCTATATATATACATATAATTATATATAGTTATATAGAATTATATAGAATTATATAGAATTATATATATACATAATAATAGAAGGCCATGGATTTCCACATCTATGTGAATCTTTGGGAGGGTACATTGACCCTTGCGAGGCTTTACGGCAGCTCTATCTCCGTGGCGCAATTGATAGCAAGGCCTGGGGGTTCTCCAGGGTTCCATCCGATTCAGAAAGGCCATGGGTTCCACCAAAAATGGGCTGGTTTTTGCCATGGTACAACCATGTATAACCCATATCGTGGCAGTCTTTACATGGGGAAGATGATGTTTGATAAAGAAACCATTGGATTTTCGGGCAGAGCATCAAAAACATTGGCCTCGAGCGCCTGTCACATGGCATGTCACATTGCAATGCCAAACATGATGATCCTTGTAATGCATAAAGTCAACTCCAGATGAATGAATCATTCATAAATGATCCTGAATATCCTACATATCCTAATGTCCTAAAGGTATTCCCTTAAAAAAGGGACCCCCAATTGACCTGCCTATGGGCTTTGTTCCAGGCTCGATGCCCGCTTCGTTTGGAAAGCTGGGAAGGTTTCAGAAGATTATCTCAGTTTTTTGTGGGAAACCCTGGCATAAACAACTCCCATTTGGGGATAGTACACATGGCATCGGGAGATTCCCACATGATCATACAGTGTTCATGATATCATCGTTGTATCCCTATGATATCCCCCGAAAGTATCACGACATTTCAACGAATCTTTCCCTTAAAATTTGGTCTGGTCCACCAGCCATGGTAGGTCTTGGACAACACAGCCTTTGAGACAGCATCCCAGTTGTTGTCCCAAGATTGGCTGCACAGGTTCCAGATGGGAACCGGGCATTGGAACTGGGAACCAGGATAATCTGGGGATTTTTTCTGCGAAAAACATAGAACATTGTTTATTGAACCAGGAATGGGAAACTGTTTAGTGAACAGAGTCGGATAGTGTGGTGATTTCTTTTTTTTTTCTGTGGATATATGTGGATGTCCCGAGTTTGAACAAAAAAAGGTAGCAAAATAGTGGGTCGATGGTTTGTGTCAGCAGAAAAAGGAGCCTGTGGAAGTGTACCCTCTGGTAAACTAACATAACTATGGAAAATCACCATTTTTAATGGGAAAACTCACTATTTCTATGGCCATTTTCAATAGCTATTTTGACATAACCAGAGGGTAGCTTTCAATCTCTCAGCGACATTCGGATACTCGCTGTACTCGCTGTGAGGTCCTTCAGATGTATTGACATGGTCCAGAAGCAATGATTTGATGAGGGCATTTGTCGAGGAATTGCTGAGCTCCTAAACAAAGTCTCTATATCAATAAACATCACCCAGCTTAGCCCTGCCATGTCTTGTGAACATGGTAATTGGAAACTTGGAAACTAAGAATCCACAAACATGTTAAACATGTTCAAGTTTCCATGGGCAAATCAAGTGGCATCCCCATGCATTCTGTATTCCGTATCGTATCTACTTCATGTGCACCTGGAACCCGACCTATTTTGGACGGCTGACCCAGCCTTTTTTCAACATCTACACTGTGGACCTACAGGTGGGCTGCGTGCGTTTGCCTGGGTGCGTTGGGACCCACTGCGTTGCCCTATATGCAGGCCCGAAAAGATGGTGGGACTCGTGTTTCTCTAGCCTTGATGGAAGTAGAAGGATAAGGGAGGACAAATGGCAATTCATCAATGTATATATATAGTATATATATATATATAGTGTATATATATAGTATATATATAGAATATATTATATATATATTATTATATATATTTATAATATATTATATATATTATATTAAATTATATATATATATATTATATATTATATATTATATATATTATATTATATATATATCCATCAAATATGGTGATTATGCCATCAAAAGGATAAGCTTTCTAAATGAATATATATTATTACGGCCAGGCCCCTTGTGTTGCCCGGAGATTTAGAGACGTTCCCGGCCAGTTGATCTCGATCTTGATGATGATGATGATGATGATGATGATGATGATGATGATGATGATGATGAAGTGCGGCCCGGCGGGTGATCATGGTAGTGATGAGATTGGTGATGATGAAGATGCGGCGCGGCGGGTGGTGATGATGATGATGATGATGATGATGATGCAAGTGCGGCCCGGCGGGTGATCATGGTAGTGATGAGATTGGTGATGATGAAGATGCGGCGCGGCGGGTGGTTATGATGATGATGATGATGATGATGATGATGAAGATGAACATGGTGAGGCAGAAAGCACAGATTCTGGACCTGCTGTCTTTTCGAGACCTCTGAATTAGAGTTCAAGGGGGTGGCAGATTTTAATACCTCATGATGATATCAAGATATCTTACATGTTAGATCCCATGTCAATATAGAGTTGAAGGGGGTGGCAGATTTTAATACCTCATGATGATATCAAGATATCTTACATGTTAGATCCCATGTCAATATAGAGTTCAAGGGGGTGGCGGATTTTAATCCCTCATGATGATATCAAGATATCTTACATGTTCGATCCCATGTCAATATAGAGTTCAAGGGGGTGGCAGATTTTAATACCTCATGATGATATCAAGATATCTTACATGTTAGATCCCATGTCAATATAGAGTTGAAGGGGGTGGCAGATTTTAATACTCATGATGATATCAAGATATCTTACATGTTCGATCCCATGTCAATATAGAGTTCAAGGGGGTGGCAGATTTTAATACCTCATGATGATATCAAGATATCTTACATGTTAGATCCCATGTCAATATAGAGTTCAAGGGGGTGGCGGATTTTAATCCCTCATGATGATATCAAGATATCTTACATGTTCGATCCCATGTCAATATAGAGTTCAAGGGGGTGGCAGATTTTAATACCTCATGATGGTATCAAGATATCTTACATGTTAGATCCCATGTCAATATAGAGTTGAAGGGGGTGGCAGATTTTAATACCTCATGATGATATCAAGATATCTTACATGTTAGATCCCATGTCAATATAGAGTTCAAGGGGGTGGCAGATTTTAATACCTCATGATGATATCAAGATATCTTACATGTTAGATCCCATGTCAATATAGAGTTCAAGGGGGTGGCAGATTTTAATACCTCTCATGATGATATCAAGATATCTTACATGTTAGATCCCATGTCAATATAGAGTTCAAGGGGGTGGCAGATTTTAATACCTCATGATGATATCAAGATATCTTACATGTTAGATCCCATGTCAATATAGAGTTCAAGGGGGTGGCGGATTTTAATATCCTCATGATGATATCAAGATATCTTACATGTTAGATCCCATGTCAATATAGAGTTCAAGGGGGTGGCGGATTTTAATCCCTCATGATGATATCAAGATATCTTACATGTTCGATCCCATGTCAATATAGAGTTCAAGGGGGTGGCAGATTTTAATACCTCATGATGATATCAAGATATCTTACATGTTAGATCCCATGTCAATATAGAGTTCAAGGGGGTGGCAGATTTTAATACCTCATGATGATATCAAGATATCTTACATGTTAGATCCCATGTCAATATAGAGTTCAAGGGGGTGGCGGATTTTAATATCTCATGATGATATCAAGATATCTTACATGTTAGATCCCATGTCTATATAGAGTTCAAGGGGGTGGCGGATCTGACATGTTACATCCAACATCGTGTAACATCAGCTAACATGTCTGTTGTTGGTCTGGGCAACACAAGGGGCCTGTGGGTATTATTTTGAGGACAGAGCAGATTCAACCATCAAATATGAGATGTCACCAGCCAAAAAGTTATTAATGTGGGAGCCGGCATTGCACAACAAAATCGTAATTTGATATACAGAAATGTGTAATGCTCGCAAAATTTCAAGCCCTGCGTGAACATATGTTGATTATTGTTGATTTCACTTCAATGAAACAAGTCGGGAAATGCAAATGCAGCATCATGCATAATCAATCAGCGATCAGCTTGATTTACCCTCTGGTAATTTAACATAGCTATTGAAAATCACCATTTTTAATGGGAAAATCCACTATTAATGGTCATTTTCAATAGCTATTTTGACATAACCAGAGGGTACCATCCCGGCAAAATCGGACATTCGTCCCATGTGAACAGCACCAGGGTGGGTGGTTTTTTTCAGCGCCGGGCAGTTGATCCAGTTGATCAGGATTTGCAAGCGCGCGCCTCGGACGAGGACGAGAACGCCTTTGTTCATGATGCCGCAAAGCAAAGCCTCAACAGGCGGTGGCATGGGATGATCTGATCAGGGCTGATCGTCCTTAGAAGACCCCATGACCCATAGGATCCATGTACGATATATATGCTAACATTTGGGGTATATTGATGGTAAATGTTACCATATATAGCATACATGGGTCCTATGGGTGATACACTGATCATCCCTTGGGAAGTTGATCACTTTTCTTGCCATGGTATATGCGTCAACCAAGGGAAGTCATTGAAAATATATGTTTCCTGTCACTACATGGGTTTTTATTCAGAGTTTGTGGCAATTTGTAGCGCTGGAAAGTTTCTAGGATAAGGCCAGGCATGGGAGGCGAATCCCGGAGATTGATAGGAGTAATTTATAGTAATTTGCTTTGACCTTGGTTCGGCCACAAAGTTTAGCAAGTCATTTGCTTTGCCACACATGGTTTCAAAATGTTTCAAATGCGCGAGGGAAAATACTAACATACCCTCCTAAAATGTGTGGGTTTGCCGGGTAATGCCGGGTATCTAGTGGTGGCGGGGTGCTCCAACTGTGATGAACACCACTAACCCACGGACTTTCTAGCTGTTGGTGTCATGCCATTTGTTTCCCTATCAGCCCAAAAAAAAACGTGGGAAGGCTGGCAATACTTCAGCGCAGTGAGCATTTCCAGGATCGTAGTTTGGATCGAATGCACGCCGCTCAGTCGCTGGTGGGTTATTCCTTTTCACCACCTGAACCGCCACACGGATCTGTCCGAGCGTAGCACCTGCCGTGGCCGGGCCCGGGGCTGCCTTTTGCCAGGAGAAGAACCACCAAAACCTACGGAAATTCAGAAAGAGATCAAGACATCCAGTCCAGAAAGTTCTGACGTTTGCGGCCAAATTATTTTAATCCCTTCACCCCATTGCTAAAACACTCCCCCATCACCCCCCCAAATGATAGACATGGTGATCTATTAAGGGCATTTTTGTATTAGGAGCCTTTAGTATTTAAAAATTTATTTGTCTATTTCAAAATCGATTAAATTCCTTTCTAAAATATAGTTACAGTAACATATTGCCAAACTTAGATTTCGAACGTTCCCCTAATGTTAAACTAGAAAACCTAATAAAAAAAAGAAAACAAACATGTTTTATTTCAAAATGGGACACTAATAATAAGACACCGGGTGTGGTTATATTTGTTAATAGGGGGTAAAAACCACTATTTCACCATCCTGTTTGTTCTCCTATTGATTCTCAATTACCACAATTAAGAACGCAATTGTAAGCAACAAAGAAAACGAAAGTGCCAATCCAATCCTATTTTTAACTGGAAGTTTTAGTCATAGGGAGAAGAGATTAAACAGATGCGGGGTGTTTCTTAACTTTGGTAAGCAGGATTCAGCAGAATGATCGACAAAGGAGAGGACCATCCAACAAACTTTGGCAGATGCAAACTGTTCCAGGCTCAAATTCGGTAATGCGTAGTGCAGCTATTGCTCGCCTCGCCTGAATCTCAAGGTCCAAATTGGCACGTCCCACAGGTATATTCATTGTGCATCTAAAATGGTAAGTCTCAACAATGATTCGAAACGAGCAGCTGTATATCATGTTTGCAACACGGCCCTGCCTTCCAGTTCCTGAACTTGCATAATTATTGTTTGACGGTTCCAGGATGGATTCTGGTAGGAACCGTTGAATCCTGGATTAAATATTCCGTTGGCAATTTTAGCATGACAAACTTTGTGTCACTTGATTTGCTTTTCGTGTGTGATCGATTGGCCTCTTGCCATTTAAAGTATACAATCACAATTTGTTGCACTCTAGCTGCTTATAGTTCTTTGTTGACACCAAAACGGTTTACATTTGTTGTTTGCGGTGGACACATAGCTGTTCCTTTCCACCTTGAGATTCGATCATCCTCGGTCAGCCGCAAATGCGGTGTGCCATAGCCAGTTGACAGCTGGCCATCAGAAGGATGTGGCCACCATCGCCAGACTAAAATGGTCTGAATGGGAAAAAGGTCTGCCGGGCTTCCTGGTAAATGACCTGGACGAGGATGACTTTGGTGGCTGATATGGGTCCAGAATGTCATTCCGAACCACACAGATTTAGGTCAGGGTCAACATTAAATGAAGTTCACTTGGTCATTCAAAAAGTCCCACATCGGTGATGGGTTGAACTTGGATACCCACAAGATTGTACAGTAGTCATCAATTTTTGTTATGGGTTTGTCTGAAAATAGGATAATTCCAGTCCATCGACAGTGTTATCATCATTTCTTATTGAAGTGGCCATGGACATGGGGTTAATCCCCATTTTTTTAGATACACGCAAACATCATCATACATCATCAATTGTTGATATTCCATGTTGGGGAAACCCCACCAAAAAACGATGTGGTAAACGATCGTAAACTCACATACCCACTTGTAAACTAACATAACTATGGAAAATCACCATTTTCAATGGGAAAACTCACTATTTCTATGGTCATTTTCAATAGCTACGTAACAAATTACCAGAGGGTAGATGTAGAAAACCCATAGAAACTCCCTGAGAACATGATCTAAGCTCCCGGAAGTGCCACGAGTTGACAAGCGACGCAAAAGCGATGTCAAGTTTGTAGAGATACATGATTCATTGATATCCACTGGAAGATGTGGGATATTCCACATAAATATCATGAAATATCATTTTATAGAATATTATACACTAATATCAATATCTATATACAGTTATATACATACACATATTTATTATCAAAAACAAGATATATCCATAAATCATCAAAAAATTGGGATCTTCCATAATTTTCCAGCATATTCCCGGCATGTTCGAGTGTCCAAACCAGGAGCTGGGTGGATTCGTGGGCCTTGTAGGCAGCCGGGAGGAGATTTTCATCAGATTTTCCAGGGCAGATGTGGAAAAGCCATGGTTTCCATAGGAAAATGATCAACACATGGTGGATTCTCATGGATTTTCCACATCGAACTGTTGGTTTACTTCTTTTGGTACCCCAGAGATGTCGACGATTTAATAATCAGCATGTTTCAGTAATGTACTGTAGTGAAAATCGATGGAAATGGATGAACATGGAATGTTCCGCCACGGAGTTGACTGAGTTTACCGTAAATATGGTTGCATTGTGGACCGGTGTGATGCAAATGCTGCTAAGGAAGGATAGTATAACATTGACATGGTACAAGCATGCATGATGATAGTGTACAATAGATACTTGGTTATATAGTTTATACAAAGGTCTACTTGCAGTGTTATAGGCATGCAAGAAAGACCCACAACCTTCGGAATTAATATGATGTGTATATGTTGTCAACAAGACGGATGGGCCATGGTCATAAGTTGGGGTATCCCTACCCAAGGCCTTCAACCTGCCAGGTCATTTGTTGAGGAGTACCCCTCTGGACTCCTCAAAAAGGAACATGCCGCTGCACCTCTTTCATGAGGACTCCAGTTGAGAAAATCAACATCCCTACTATTGTTGAATGGCCAGGAGGAGTGGGCATGCACTACCCACACGCATACATTCTTCAAAACATGGTAAAAGATGGTAAAATATGTACAAAGTTTTTTTTGTCAGAACCGGACGGTAGTTGCTCCTAGTCCTAGTCCTAGTTGATCTCCATTTTCGAAATTTCGCACTGTACTTATTTTGTCTCTTCTTGTGTCCGAGTGCAGCTGTGTTTCCATGCAGTGCAACTCACATTCAAAAACCGAGTTGCTCTTCACCAGTGCCTTTTTAGTACAGGAGAATGACAAGGAAATGAGATGGAAATGGGTGCTGCAGTCATGTTTATTACCTGGGCTTTGTATGGGTAGTTAGATACTATGGATGCTGTTGCTGCGATTTGATTCATCCAACCTAAGATATCACATCCAATTCAACCATGACTTGGCTCGTTGCCCATCCCTGCAACTGCGGGGTTTTTGGTGCAAGGCGGCGCATTTCTCGTCCGACAATCCACATAGGCCCTATGGCCATACTAATGAGGATATATGTGGTTCACCCAACCAGCCAAGACAGTTTTTGAATGGTATCTACCCTCTGGTAAATAAACATAGACCCTGAAAATCACCAATTTTTAATGGAAACTAGTCTTCCAACCCCTATCTACCAGGGTCTATGTTAATTTACTGGAGGGTAAGATCAGCAATTTTTTCCAGCCTGAATCCATGGACGCTTTCCCATTGCCAAGGGAGCCGAGTGAGCCAGCATTTTTTTGGAGAGTTGGTTGCATGTGTGCCATTTGGTTGTTGATCCTGATATGGCAGTGTGTCAAAACCTTGTACCCCTGTAGTTCACATCAAAATAGCTGGTAAATGGATGTTCATCCCCCCTAAAAATGGTATTAATAGGTATTGATCCATACCCATATAGATTTGAATATTGCAATTCAAACTCAGTATGTGTTACTGTTTAAGTGAGATGTCCAGGTTTACAGAGTAAAACCACCCCTATCTTTCCAGGTTGTTCACATTTTACTCTAAGTGGGTCACATTGCTATTTTTTTGATTCCCAGGTCTACAGCCCAACCAGATGTTTGTGACCCCAAATATTTTTGGGGATCCATTGAAAAACCCTGGAAAAACCAGGTGCAAGGAACTGTCCAACGTCTCATCGACGCTGGCTTTAACGTCGGGGCCCTGGCTTTTTAAGCTCGGCGGAGCTGGGTGATTTTGTGAGTCCCTGGGAACCCCATGTTTGGATCCCAAAAATATTTTTTCGACTATACACGAGGCCTCACAAAGCTCGAGTTCATAGAAACAATGAAATAGTATTTTTAATAGTCCTGTCGTTTCCCTGATATCAACCCTGTGAGCTGATTTGTAGCAACCTGCACCTTTGAGATGATGATATCCCAAAACTTTTTTGGAGAAACATATTTCTTTGCTACACAAAGAAGCGTGTGAAAAGTGATTTGCGGCCTCAAAGTCTTGGAACAAGACATTTCGCCACAAGATAAGCCTCTTCAATGAGGCAGGTGTGAGAAGGTTTACGTTTGAGAATACAATGGTTTTGCTATTAAATTGATGGTTCCAGCGGGAAGTCCACTACTTGGGGAATCCAAACGAAATATGTTGTAATACTTGTTTGGGCGGGGTTCTTTAAGCAAATCCAAGGATACCTATATACATACCCATACCTGCAATTACATGGGGATTGAACCACAAAAACAAGTTTTACCCATTCAATGGATCGACGTGTGCATCAAGTCACTTAGAACATCTTAGAACTATGCCTGGATCCATGGATTGACAGCTGATCATGGGAGTGGATGCACAAATGGACTTAGATCCAGCAGGGTGAATATATATATATATACAATTTGGCATCTGGAATGGCTTCTCGAAAGACATTGGAAGACTCTGCAACCGGAGCAGCAGAATTTGGTCCCGCATAGTCAGGGCGAAGCTATTTGCCCAACTTGAGATCCCTTCCCCTGTTATGAAACACCCAGCAGAAACCATGGTTGGTTTAAGGATTATCCACAGATGACGACCATTCAACAGGGGTTTAGGCTTTCATGGATGGAATGATTTCACCCACGAGGTGTCTTCCAAGAGAGAGAAGGATCCTGCCGGTTGTGGTCATTGGATCCAGGACTTTTCGGGGGACCCGGGGGACCTTTTTTTTGTCACCGAGAGTCCGCTGAGTTTTCTCACCGTCCAGGACATCGAAGGTCGCTGGGTGCGAAGTGCCTTGAGGCCGAACCGATTGATGAGCGAAAGCGGTTCAACGGTTGATCAATCACTGGTTGTT